AACCCCTCTTTTTTTTTTTTTTTTTTTTGCATTAGTGGAAATTACAATACCAAAGCTGGAGCTGGTGCCACAGTCTTCCAGAAGCCCAGCCAGGCTTTCAGACACAGCAGGGACTGAAACTGGCCCACCCGAAGGTTCTGTTTGGCCAACGCAGTGTTTTTTGTTTTGTTTTGTTTTGTTTTGAAGTATTTTTGAAGATGAATGCTTTCAGACCCTGCTGTCTGTCTCCTGGCCTTTCTCGCTCATTTAAGTAGGCACTGAGTTTTCAGCTTCTGATCCCAGCCAGATTGTTAGGTTTCTTCTCTGGATTTCTCTTGATCATAACAGGGTGAGGTTTCTGAGTTCTGCCTTTATGTTAGAAGCACTATCTTTGTGACACAGCCTTGCTAGGACCTTGGAAAGGCTCCTTTAAAATCCGCACTCGAATAAACAAGCGTGGTGTATCCATATAATGGAATATTATTCAGCTGTAAAAAGGAAGGAAACACTGACACATGGTACAATGTGGATGAATCTGGAAAACATTACGCTAAATGAAAGAAGATAGACACAAAAGGCCACATCTTTATGAAATACCCAAAATATTCTGTCTTGACACAGAAAGCAGATTCGTGGCTGCCAGGGGCTCAGGGGAGGGGAATGGGGAACAACTGCTTAATGGCTATGGGTTTCCTTTTGGGGTGATAATATTTCAGAACTAGATAGAGGTGGTGGTTGCAGAGCATGGTGAATGTACTAAAAGCTACTGAAGGGTTCACTCTGAAATGGTTGATTTTATGTGAATATTACCTCAATTAAAAAAATTCCTCCTCACCCCCATCATTAGGGGGACCACTTCTGTGAACCACGGGGCAGTCTTCTCTTCACTTGTTACTAAGCGTTCCAATCTCAGCAGGAGAAGAGTGAGCCCTTTTGTTGAATCTGACATGTGATAACAGCAACATCATCGCTATAATCTTGGCCACTGGGAAATCTTCACCATATATGAGGCAATTTATGCATTATTTAATGTAATATTCTTAAGAAGTTCCAATCCTGGTTACATCGTTTACTAGCGGCATCGTCTAGAGCACGTCAGTTACCTCTCCGTGCCTCAGTTTTCCCATCTAGAAGATGGGATGATTACAGTACCTGCCTTGTACATTTGTTGTGCGGATTCATGAGTTAATGTACGTAGAGCACTGAGAACAGTGTCTGCCAAGAGCAGGCACTATGTAAGTGTAGTTGTTGTTGTTATTATCTCCTGTCCCCTACCAAAACCCCCTGTTTGCCAAGATCTAGTTTGGGTGAGGGGAAAGGAGTAATGGAGAGACTTGAAGGTGGTGGGTGGTGTTTACTCTCCTACTCCCAGAGCTGGCGGCTGGCTGAGCGAGGGGCATGCAGCAAGCAGAGGGCTGGCTGGGCAGGTGGAGTCACTGAGCAGAAGCGGGGCTTAGCTGCCGGCACACCCTCCTGGAAGGTTGGGCTGGTGCCCAGGGA